CTATAGGTACTATAGGTCGAGATTTAAATTATTGTCAATGACTCATGCCATTTGCAATGCTATATCAAGTTAGTGGCATCATAATGAAGTCGAAAATTTTTACCTTGCCAATACTACCGCTTCACAGAAATTACACCATTCTGTGGTATGAGTGATTTCGATCTTGGCAAGGATCTTGGGTATAGGGGAGGGAATAGCTGACCCAAAATGTGTACACTGACTCCAAAGTCCACAATCTTCAAGGATGCAACAACACTCCATGTACAGGGTGTCCCATTTTGGTTGTAGGTACATAAGGTATATCTTAGTTGCTGTTGGAATTAGAAGGATGCGGTCTTCGCGAACGTTGGCTACTTTTCTTTCAAACAAAAGATGCCGTCAACAAAATTATCATCGCCATTTTCGTTTTTCAGATACAAATTTGAAAATTTTCCTTTTTGGACACCTCCTGTATCTCGGTTCTCTAATAAGGTATTGAGAAGGTGACAACGGGTTTTTATAGATCTTTCTACGTGGATTCTAGTGGCAAAGTCAGTTTTTCTCTAGAAGTGATAGTTTTTAAATTATGAACCAACCATATGTTTTTTCAAATGAAATATCCTGTATATTAATAATTCATTGGATAGCTCTGCTTTTGTTGATTTCAATGTCAGAAAAATCTATAGGTTTGTCTCTATTACCAATGTCTGATTTTGTCATAAGAAACAATGTTTCAAAAAAAAGGCATCGCATCTGTAAAAAAAACGAGAAAGGTCTCTTTTTTACACATTAATTCTTATGACAAAAACAGATTAAAGGTGGTTTGATCCCCTGTATGTGTTACCTGTGGTATAACATATTTTCAATTTGTTTGAAAACCAATACACATATTGTACTTTTTCTAAAGTAAAGTCAAATATTCAGTACATTTTCAAGTAGTACATACTTACTAAAAATATTTTGCAAAATTCAAGTATATACCAAGAAAATCTAAGTTTTTGAAAATTTCTATGGGGTACATTGGGTCTTTGTGGGTTATTGTGATAGTTTTTGTGTTTTTGTAGGGTTTTTGTCTTTACTTTACTAGAAAAAATTGTATATTTTTTTTTTGTTTAAAGAGTTTTGCACCTGAGAAGGTTCAAAATTGAAATTATTAAATATTGAGAACTTTCCAAAAATGACACTGAGATAATTTTTCCCACACAGCTCCTCTAATTTTAATCAGATTTCAACGCAATTAGGCTCTAATTAAAGCCAATTAAATTATCTAAAAACCTGTTAATTGAAAGTTTGATTTAGTTTTAACAGTTTTGTAGCTAGAAGCTTCAAAATTGAAATTATGGAACATTGAAAACTTTCCAAAAATGACACTGAGACAGTTTTTGACTCACAACTCCGTTAATTTTTATACGATTTCAATGTAATTAAGCTCTAATTAAAGTCAATTAAACCTCATACAAGCCTATTAGTTAAGAGATTTCAATTTCCAAAAATGACACTGAAATAGTTTTTGCCTCACAGCTCCGGTAATTTCCATCCGATTTCAAATTAATTAAGCTCTAATTGAAGCCAATTAAATTATCTACAAATCTGTTCATTGAGATTTTAATTTAGTTTAAACGCTTTTGCACCTGAGTAACTTCAAAGATTAAATTATTGACCATTTAATTTTTTTCAAAAATGACACTAAGACAGTTTTTGCCTCATAGCTCTTTGCACCTTAGAAACTTCAAAATTTAAATTATCGATTGAAAATTTGGCAAAAGACAAGGATATTCTCTTCATAATCCATTTCGTAGAAATCTGTTTTCTATCTGATGAGGAACTCTTCAACCTAAAAATCTTTGGAAGAGTTAGGAGAATCTTTTTATCAGGATCTTACTTTCAATCTCCATATTATCAAGGATAATATTGAAAACATGTACAATAGAGCCTTGGAACTCCTTGATTTTATCAAAGTTTCTTAAACTTATTTATAGGCTATAGGTTAAAAGAATTGCTGTTGATAATGTTAATTTTGATGAATTATCTGTTTTATCACATCTTCCTACATTAGAAATCTGCAGGAGAAATCTTGGCATATGCTTTTTATGTAAAATTGTAAATAATTTAACACATTGCATGCTAGGTGTATATTGGAAAAATATCCACGCGATTTTTTTTCTTAATTTTTATTAAAAAGTCACTGAAATCATAGATTATATCGCTTATAGTATTTTTTGTTTATTTTTAGCCTTCCCAACCATTTTTTTAATGTCAGTCATGTATTACTGACCTGGCCTCTCAGGTTATTTTCATGGACTTGGACATAGAGGAGGTCACGTCAGTCATATCTGCCCGACAATTTAATTCCATTGTTTTTATATACCTATCGTATCTTAATACACTTACCCAAACTTATATGGACCAAATATTTCCGCTGAAGAACTTTTTACTAAAAAATTAGTTGCTGGGAATCAAAATGCGGTTTTTTTCATTCATTTTTATCAGAAAAATAATTGAAAATCCATGAACCTAATTTTATTACAATAAGAATGGAATAAAAGGCCAATATTACAAATTGAGTGATTCCATATAAGTTTGAGTGTGTGTAGATTTGCATATGAATGTTTTAGTTCACTTACCCCTAATGATTTTTTTAAAATGAGAAACTACTCCGTGTGATAAGTAAATCACTTGACTCTTCACAAAAACAATTTTGCCTGGCAAAGTTGAAGAGCATTCAGCTATTCGCTACTTTATTAAAGCTCTGTTAGGCTGAATTCACTTGAAATAACGTTGTGCAGCTAACACCCAACAACAAATCACAATTCAACCATTTCTCGCCGGTATTCGGTAGTGCCCCACTGCTACACTTACCTTAAATAGTATAATCGTGCAGCAAATGGGATCCTAACCTATTATGGTGGACGGCTTCCCAGGGGGACACCAATTACCAAAAAGAAATAATCAAACCATGATTTGTTGCCCTGGATATCAGTGAAACGCAACTTCAATTGTTGAGAGGAAGTTATTGAAAACGTCAACAGCCAAATGCTCAAAGCCCAATACCAAAATTGCTCAACTAGAAGTAGCTTGCCAAAATTCTAATTTGAAAGGCAGTTAGGATCATAGATTATTCCTTCACAATAGTCTACTACCAAATGACGAATATAAAAATAGATAAGAAAAGAAAGGTACAATAGCTTGTTTACATGACCCTGGTCCCTTTTTTTCCTACTTCATTTATGATTCATCATTTAGGTATAATAATATTGAGATAAACAAATCCTTCCATCTTTACTGGCTGAAATACACAAAACACCAATTTCAGATTATTTCGAAAATTTTATGAAAAATCTTTTGAGAATGATCATTATTCGAGTGGCTAAAATTGCCAAAACTACTTAATGCAAAACAATTATCATTTTTTTATGTAGGTACCCACTGTATACTTATTATGCATCAGATAATATGCACTGGTATTACTATGTAGATATATAACTTTTCAATCGATCCACACTGACCAAATATACGTCCAATTCAACGACGTCAAATGGACACTTCATAGACGTTTTGATACAGGGTATTTTTTTCTAAATGGGTTATATTGGGTTTTACATGGAAATTTTTGGACCTATTGGTTCATGTCATGGTCCAATAAACGTCCACTCCGTGACATCCCAAACAAGTCATATTTTGCAGCCACTTTCCGACGACGAATTTTGGTTAATCGACGTAAATCTTTTTAAAATCGACGTAATAACGACTAACTTTTGCTACTTGGGGTTTGTTGGAATAGGAAAAATGTCCTACTGGAAAACATCCTCCAGCATTTTAAATTTTTGAATGGATTTAGATCAGACGACTTTTTCGCAGATCTGTTTTTGTATTAAAATTGTATTCGCTAACATTCAATGTTCTCTATCTTAGGCCCGGTTTATTAATCTTTAGATAAACTTGCTGGTAACTATCTGCAAGATAAATGTATAGATCTATAATCCTGTTGGTCACTGGATAATTGGTTGACCAATTGGATTATGTACTGGGTTTTTATCCGTCAGATTGTATTACCTGACAGCTTGCCTGACAGTTTATTAGAAAGTGAATAAATCGGCTCTTATATGTATTGAGAGGCTCTTGAAGAGCCGGGAATAGACAAAAATTTGAGAATTGAAAGGCAGACATCAAGGGAAAATGGAGTAGATAAGTAGACTTAACTATACCTGTATGTTGTTTCTATCCCAGGCTGTTGAATTTTCTTTATGTAGATATTTAGATGGAACAATTCAAGAGTCGGAAATAAACAAAACAAGAAATATTCCCGATTGCTTCTTTTCAAATTGTCTCCCTGTATGTCCGACGTGGCCTAAATAGAAACATCACTGTCGGGCAGTTATGCCCGTCGCGGCATGCAATGTGTTAATTGAGTGTCCTCCTCTGTTAGATAATATAAATATTCATGTACCTGCAAAATATACACGATAGAATGAACTGTCCAATGTATCATATCATAGGGCAAATTATGGCTATTTCAGTCCTGTATGGAGAATTCGCAGGGATACCAATCAAGTTCCAAAAGAGACAGATCTCTTCAATTTATGTTTGAAGGGGTTGAAAAGCAGAATACAACAGGGTATTCAGTTTAGATTTTATCGTTTAACTATTAATGTGTTTTTGAATTATTTTTTCCTATTATTATTCAGAATTTATACTGGCTGATTTCTTAATGAAGAATTTGAACTTTAACCAACTCACTGCAAATTACTTCAACCCGATAACTTTTTCCAAATCTCCCAATAAATTGAAAACTAGTTGAAAAAAGTAGATCATCCCGATCCATACACTGTTTCCACTATATTTTTGTAACTGTAACATATATATCTAAACATCCAAAGAAAAATTGACTAATCTATACTTTTCTTACAATCCCTAATAAGTTCCTCTACCATTTTTATTCCTAAGAAACAAAGTAAAATGTATTTTAGTAAATAGTATATAAATTATGATTATTTTTGACAAATTTGATATACATATTCCAGATCAGACAAAAAATACGATGAGGCGATCAAATGTTATCGCAACGCCCTCAAATGGGAAAAAGACAACATTCAAATCCTCAGGGACTTGTCTCTATTGCAAATACAAATGCGCGATTTGGAGGGCTACAGAGTAAGTAACATTAAATTAATCAAAGTCAATAAAACATAATTGTACAATTTAGGATACAAGATATCAACTCCTTATGCTCAGACCAATACAAAGAGCTTCCTGGATCGGTTACGCCATGTCTTTTCATTTATTAGAAGATTTTAAAAATGCCTTGAGTATATTGGATACGTTTTTAGATCAACAACAAGTAAGGCCTTCTCAAATTAATTAAACAATACCTTACTATAAAAAAAAAAATATATATACATTTTCAGAGGCTGAATATTATTGATTATGAACATAGCGAATTGGTTTTGTACCAAAACCAAGTGATACAAGAGTCAGGTGATTTGAAACAGGCCCTCAAACACTTGGAAAAAATGTCAGATCAAATTGTCGATAGGTTAACATTCAAAGAGAACCTGGGCAATTTGCATTTGCGGTTGGAGAATTGGAACAAGGCGGCAGATATTTATGAAGAATTGATACAAAGAAATCCCGAAAATACTATTTATTATAAGAAACTTATCGAGGCTAAAAGGTTGACTAAAGAAGCTGACATTGTCGATTTTTACATGAAGTACAATGAAAAGTTCCCTAGGGCTATGCCTCCTAAACGGTTACCTTTAAACTATGCCACCGGCGAGCAATTTAGAATTTTACTTGACAAATACATGAGAAAGGCCTTATCAAAAGGAGTACCTCCTTTATTTGTCGACCTAAGAAGTTTATACAAGGATCCTAAGAAAATTCAGCTCATTGAAGAGCTAGTTTTAAGCTACATAGAATCACTGAAAAAAGTTAGCAAATATTGCGAAACTGATGTTGGGCCTAAAGAACCGGCCAGCGCCATCCTTTGGGTTTATTATTATTTAGCTCAACATTATGACTATTTGAAACAATTTGAAAAAGCCTTAGAATACATTGAGACTGCCATCGAACATACACCCACCCTTATTGAGCTGTTTGTCACTAAAGGACGGATATTTAAAGTAAGAATTTTTATAATTCTATAATTAGTAGGCACATAATGTTTTGTTTTTAGCATGCTGGTAATCCAATTGAGGCTTACCAGTGTTTAGATGAGGCTCAAGCTATGGACACTGCTGATAGATATATTAATTCCAAATGTGCCAAGTACATGCTCAGGGCTAATTTAATTAAAGAGGTTAGTTGATGGTTATATTAATAATGAATATTATTTTATTTGAAATTAATTTAAGGCTGAGGATACGTGTGCAAAGTTCACAAGAGAAGGTGTGTCAGCAATGGAAAACCTAAACGAAATGCAATGTATGTGGTTTCAAACAGAATGCGCGTTGGCATATCAAAGATTAGGCAAATTCGGAGATGCCTTGAAAAAATGTCACGAAATTGATAGGGTAAATAATTTAAACACTTATACAAATTGAAAATAATATTTGTTTTATTAGCATTTTTCAGAAATAATCGAGGATCAGTTTGACTTTCACACATACTGCATGCGTAAAATGACGCTGCGGTCATATGTGGGGCTGTTGAGGTTGGAGGACGTTTTGAGGGGGCACCCGTTTTACTTCAAAGCTGCCAAGTGCGCCATCGAAGTTTACTTGCATCTTTTTGATTCACCGTTGAAGGACGAGAACGCTGAACAGGAACTGAATACAGGTGAGTGGAGAAAAAGTTAAATGTTTTGTCCTTGTTTTTGATACATTTGGGATGAGAATATTATATTTGATTAGTTAAGCTGTTGGTTTTGTATATTATGATGTTTGTTGAGAAAAAGTAATTTCCGAAATTATAATATCAGCTTTACATGAGAATGCAGGACGTACAAATTATCCTAATTCAGTGCGATTTTATCTATAAGAGGTAAGTACTTAATTTGAAAAATTAAAAACTACAAAGAGGTCTTGCCTGGTATGTGACTGACTTGAATGTCATCTATCGACATTACATATTACAACAACTTCTGTGCAGTTGATTGATGGGCCATTCATAAACAAGTTTGGTGACTGATGTGAACTTGGCTATAGCAATTATTAGTTTTACCAATGATTTAACCCTTTTACACCACCCTCAAAGTAATAATTTGCAATTCAAGTCAGGTTTCCTAAACGATGTATATTGGTACTGTCTATAACATATATCATATATCAAACACTTTAGTTCTTACATATTTTTTACATTCAGTCTTAAATCTAGAGTAGGAGTCACATTGCTTCAATTCTGCGGATATACTGTTAAACATTCTTAAGCCTACACTAAACAAAGTGTCACTCTGAAAATCACTAATGTAAAAATTATTTACCACACTGGATCGCGTTTGGTATGAATGAACATCTCGCACATAAGTAACTTCATCAGATAAATATGATGGTAACATATTATGTTTTAGTTTGAAAACAAAAGTTAGCATTATGTAAGTAGATCTTTGTTGTACATTCATAAGGTCTAATTTCTCCAGCATGGATTTTATTGGTGTTCTTTTGTTACAAGGTAATATTGCTCTCATGCAACGATTTTGCAGTTTTTGTAGCATGTCTCTTTGAGTCAAACTTAGATAATGATACAATGTACCGCAATATTCGAAATGAGGAGCAATTATTGACTTAAAAATTGTGAGTTTAGCGAAAAGTGAAATCTTGTTATTCAATCTGTAAAGAAAACCTGCTTTTTTTGCTATTTTCTTTTTTATGTAGTCACAGTGCAAGGATAGATTAAGTTCGGGATCCAAATATTTGAAAGATTTAACCTGTTCTAAGATATCGTTAGTCATAATTATTTTTACTGCTGCATTAGTACTTTGTCTTTGAACTTGATTGAGGCAATGTTTAGAACCAAGAATCATGAATTTCGTCTTTGCAGCATTTAGTTTTAAGCCATTTTCTATGAGCCACACATCAATATTTTCAAGATCTTTGTTTAACAGTTTTTCCATTAATGTTATTTCATCAATATCACAAACAAAATAAAGCAAAGTGTCATCTGCGAATAATTTTATTTGACAATGTTTGACATGAAGAACTATATCATTGATGAACAACAGGAAAAGAATAGGTCCCAATACTGAACCCCTTGATCTATGCCTATGCTATTGCAATTGGCATTTTTAAATTTAACCTTCTGAAATCTCTCACTTAAGTATCCTTTAAACCATTTTAGTACTATGCCTCGAATACCATACTTTGCTAGTTTTAGTAACAAAAGATCAATGTTTACTGTCTCAAAAGCTCTACTGAGATCCAAAAATACTACACCAATGACTTTTTTCTTCTGTATTTGAGATTTCCAACCTGATATCAAAAACTGCAAAGCCGTTTCGCATGAATATTTCTGTCTGTATCCTGATTGTTGCTCTACCAAAATATTATTTCTATCCAAATAATGAAGCAGCTGATCCTTCACCAGCAATTCCAAAACCTTTTCATAAACTGGCAATGTGTTTATGGGCCTATGCTCTGAACAAAGTATTGATTTTGGGACCTTTTCAATTGGGACCACAGTGGAACATTTCCAGGCATCAGGAAAAACTCCCTGTGATAGAGAGGTATTTATCAAATCTAGGAAAAATTCTCCTGCAATATCAAGAGCTAATTTAAGCGTGTTCAAGTCGATTCCGTCACTGGAGCCCTTCCCCATGCCTAAAACTTTCAAGGATAACATTTCCCAGTCAACTGAATGAAAGTTGTCAAAGGAACAACCAATTTGTGACATTCTTTCCAACACAAAATTTAAACCCTTTACATTTTTTGTTGATTTCACTAAGTCTCTAATGCTGTTTACAAAATAAGTGTTGAAATTATCTGCTATTTCCTGATCATTTTCCAAAATTACAGCTTCAAATTTTATTTTAGATATTTTTTCAACTTTTTTACCTGAAACTAACTCCGTTATTGCTTTCCACATATTTTTACTGTCATATTTATTATCATCAATTTTTTCCTCATATTATTTTCTTGTTTCATGTCTCAATTTGGTTGTTACTTCATTTCTCACAATCTTGTAGTTGTTCCAATGTTCCTCAGTTCCCGATTCCTTTGCTAACCTAAATAGCTGATCTCTATATTGTAAACTCATCATGAGATCATAGCTGAACCAAACTCTTAGCTTAAAATTATTAATTTCCTTAAATGGAGCGTGAACATTGAGCGCATCCACAATATTTCTTGTGAAAGTACCTGCTAAAATATTTATATCTTGACTACCTGATGACTAATTCAAAGTAAGCAAATATTGTTTAAAGTCATCCTTATGAAAACTTGAAAAGTTTCTTCTTATAATTACTTCTTTGGCATTGTTTTTGGGTTTATTTATGTCGAGCGATACTAAAATATTTGAATGGTCCGATATTTTCGACCTATCAGAAACTAAATGCTGTAGTGAGTTTTCATTTGTTATCAAGTAGTCAATTAAAGTTGCACTGTTCAATGTCACTCTTGTGTAATCTTGAACTAACTGATTTAAGCCTAAAAAATCCAAAATACTCCCTATTTGCCTGCTATAAAAACTTTAAAATCGATATTAAAATCTCCAAGTACGATTAACAAACACTTTTGCGATACTAGCTCTTCAAATTTAGACTCTAAAACCTGCAGAAATTCAGGAATTGAAGCGCTTGGGGATCGATACAGTGCACATATTACAAAACAAATATTTTTAATTTCTATTTTGACCGCCACAATCCAAGTGTTCATTTGAAGTGAAAAATTCATAATCTCACTATACTGTATGTCATTTCTGATATAAATAATGGTTCCACTAGTGGAATTGCATTGTACTATGTCATACCCGTTACTCGAGATTTCATGTTGATTAATCTCATCTGTAACACAAGTTTCTGACAGACAAACTAAAGCTCTCCAAACCACGTGATTTTTCAATATGGCGACCATGGAAAATTTGACATTTATTTGTTTATCTTGAGTTTATTTGGAATATTTTCAAGCTAATTACAGTTTACTTTGTTATAATATACTTTTTGAGATGCAGAGTGAATATTTAAAGACTTGAATGCAGGAAAATCGAGATCTGGGCGAACGGTTAGTTTAAAAAAATGTCCAGATGACATTTTGATCCACAGTTCACATTAATGAGCAAATGAAGGCCTACAAAAGCTTAGATTCTTACGAATATTTCGAAAATGGCTCTATTTCAGATGTAGGAACAGTGGTAGTGAAAAATGTTCACGTTTTATTAGGAAAATTTTAAAACAAAGGGCAATGAAAAAAGCCTGACATCATCCTTGTTACCTTGTTGAAACTACTTCCACAATCAACTTCAAGACCCGTTTGTGGCATTTTTAATTGGAAGAAACACTAGTGAAGTCAATAAAATAAAAAAATAAACAGAGTTTATTCACAAAACAACCACAAAATGCACTTTAAAAAGCTTTAAATTACATACTTTCATATACGGGATAATTAACTTCTGCCACAACGCACTTTTTGACAGGTCGTTGGAATGCCTAATTAATGGTTTATGACAATGAATGGCAAATGAAATGTTATCAATATTCTTTATCAAGCTAGAACAATTTGCATAAAATATATTGTAATCTAATGTCTTACTGGTTTCTCTAAAAAATCACTCGCCACAATACCTTTTGGCCAAAGATTCGGGTTTAGAAAATCATTTTTTAAGTAGAAGGGGATACCTACTTTGAATGATCCAACTCTGTTGCTGTTACCTAACTGTAGTTTTTCACACTCATATGTTTCATTAGAGTCAATTTGTCTTACGAAATTGAGGACTTCTTCATCCTGTATAGTGGGAGTAAACCCGGAGACAAAAAAGTGATTAAGCATAGATACTACTTGTTCCTGGCTAGTATTGTTGACTCCATATACCACAAGCTTTTTGCGAAATCCCCTATTGCCCACTTTTTCACGCTGATCCTCTTCATTATATTTATACTGGAATCTAGGTGGAACATCGAAGCTATTCTTGACAGAATTAGGTTTAGTTGCAGTGGAAGCGGCTGGTTGCGTCTTTGGGGCCGCCCATGTGGTCTAGACTCAATGTGAGTCACTGGTTGCGAATCAGTACTCACAAATTTATTAGCTGTTTGATTTGTCTCAGATAGGTTGTTTTGGATCAAGTTTAAGTTCGATATTTCCAGTTTTTCTATTTTACTGAAACAATATTCCAAAAGGCCTTCAAGCTTTGTAACTTTGTCACATAGCTCCTGCTCTTGCTTTGATTTTTGTGTAAATATAGCCTGAAGGTTAGACATAATTTCTGTTTTCATATTAGTGAAGGATTCAGTAATAAGCACTGATTTATCCAATAATGTTTGTTCAATATTTTGTTTAGTTTGCTCTTCGAAGTTTTGGAAAAATTCTGTGATTTCAATAGTTTTCTCACTTAAGGTTACCTTGATTTCGTTTTCTATTCGTGCAAAATCTTGCATTTTTTTATCCATAGTTTCCTGAATTGGAGTAGCTATAGCTTGGTTCACTACCTCCAACAAATTTTTGGACAGGTCTTGTGACACAGCTTTAATTATTTCCGAATGAGTATACTTGTGTATAGCTTGTTGAATCTTTCAATCTCCCCCCTAACCAATTTTTGGGTTTTTATACAGTTTGTTAGATCATCAGAATTGCATGCTGTACAGCAAAATATCATCGTGCGCTCTTGAAGGCGGGTTACATATGCCTCAGATTTTGTAATTTTAGAGCATCTGCAAATATCACATATGATTTTATAGGATGCATCTTCTGCTGACATTTCCTTATCGCACTTTGAGCAAGACATTTATGTACCACACTGTATACGCACTCTATCAAAATATTTACTGTTGATCAAAATATTTCCTGTTGAAAAGTGCAGCCACAAAAAACTGATGAATGAAATTAACTCGAGACTGAATGATAAATTCCTTAATATTTTTATCACTTATGTTTTTTATCGTCACTTTTATACTGAATATTATATTGTTTAACGTTTGTAATGTAAATTCCACATTTGTTATGCTACACTCAAACAATTTGGGATATTGATTGAATCACTGTTTTTTTCCTGAGTAATTTGATATAAAATTCAAATTTTAATTTTAATTTTTAAATTGTAAAAACTGATAAAAACTGGAGCGCACTTTTAAACGACCTGAATGTTGACGCGAACCTGACAACCTGATGTGTATATCTATTGTTGGTGAATTTCCAATTATGTAGAACTGAAATTGTTAAGTCAAGATTGCTCCATCTATGTTTTTCATGATACATAATCAAAAATGATTCCAGGAAACCTGTGATTTAATTGGAAGCTGATCTTTTATATATGATTCATGAAAAAAAGTTTCAGCTGCTCGTATGTTGGGGGAAATATTGTAAGCTGATGCATTGAAGGTCGTGCGCATCAGCTAACAGCGCGTCTACACACGGAACCTTTTGTGACCCCAGCTGACAACTTTTCCACCAACATACGAGCAGCTGACACTTTTTTCCGTGAATGAAAGTACATAAAATATTAGTATCCAACCAAATTTCAAGTTGCCCGACATCGTTTTGAAAATTCGCATTTTCGGACTCATTCGCATCCCCCGCCTCTAGCTGACAAGTACCCTACCACCCCCTGGCTAGCTGACATTGTTCAATGTTCATTATGGAACATAATTTACCGTTCATAAAAGTTTCCTGCTGCCCGGGAGTGATTCCCGTCACCATTTTTTTCATGTGTTTACAATCCCTTAGCAAATACCCCCACCACCACCACCTAGCCAGCTGACACCCCAAACGTATCTGCACAATGTGGGTACAATCAAATAAAAATATAAAGAACCTACCCGCTAATCGTTGTAATTTTGTACACGGGCTCCAGGACTATAACTTCCAGTACCATTTGTGCATGGTGGACCGAATTTTGACAAAACATGTTTATTATTCGCAATAATTTATTAGTTTTACCCCCCCAATTTATAATAATAGTCATGTGAGAAAGAGGACTATCGCAGGTACATCCATTTATCAAAAATAAACTACATACTTGGAAATGCATGACACAAATCCAACTATAGTGTTCACCCTGATTTGGCACCTTTTTTCTATAGTAAACACAAAACACAATCTCTCACTATAACTAATTGAAATTATATTTCTAAAACTAAAATCTCAAATAAATATACATACAAATAATACATAAGAATCATCTAGAATAATACACCATAATCTGATCACAGACCATTTTTGTTTTGTTTACCACACAGGTAAATAGCGTCCGTTTATCACTGCTGTGCTGAGACCATTATATTTGAGTAAATTTTTGACTGGTCTGCCAGCTGTCGGATAAAGTTAAATTCATCATGCCTACATTTTATCACATTATTTAATTATTTACACTCCCCTTCTTGCCTTCTGTCGTATGTTGCGGTGGCTGATCCCTTCTCACCCGTGCATCTCTCTCATAAAAATACCCTTGCCTTCTCCGTTCGGCCACTTGCGGTGTTAAAAAGTAAAAATGAGCACCTTCATCCCCTGGCAATCGATAATGTATGTATCGTTCCTTTCCACCGCTGTTTACACTAGGAGGTGTTATTTCTATTGCCTTTATAATTTCGGCACCTCCAGTCGGTTCTTCTTGATGATACTGTTGTCTTATCGGCTCGCTCTGGGGATCTATATGAGGCCTTGGCCTGGCATAATTTACCTTAATGTCACTTTCTAATGATACTATGGGCCTGTTTCTTATTGATTGTTGTCTGAAATTTTGCCTTGGAGGTAATGGGGTAGTTGAGCTGGGCAATTTTCTACCAAATATAGTAAAATACTGTTTAGTATTTTCATCAAAATAGCCTTCATCGGGCTTAGTGTAATAGCCTTGATTGATAGGATTAGGAGTTACATTATAACTGAATTCAGCTATAGGTCTTGAAGGTGTAACAACAACAGGGCTTTCTTGTATATTGTATCTTACTGGCTGTTGCCTGGGTGACTGTATTTCTTGCAAATATTGCTGTTGAGGCCTGTAGCTTGGTTCATCAACATTCAAAGGCTGCACTTGTTGATAGCTGGGCTGTTGGGTGGGTATTATTTGAATTGCAGGCTGTATTTCGACGCTATATTGCGGTATAGGCCTGAAACTGTCCTCGCTATCGTCCATTAAAGGTGACGGTCTGAAGGTTTTACCACCGGGTCGTCTGTAGTTTTGAGCCTCGAAGCTGTATTGATAAACAGGTTTCGAAGTGGGCCTGGGAGTAGTGTAGTATTGGTGAATTTGATTTTGAAGCTTGGCGATGTGGATACTGAAAGTGCCTTGCTGTCTTGGGGGTTGGTATCTGAATTTCGGTTTTTCGCTTTCGTACGGACGTCCAGTGACGTAGATGTATTGCTGTTGCGATGGTTTTCTTGGAGGGATGTAATATGGGTTGTAGTAGGTGTTGGGGTTTTTCTGAGCTAATGGGGCTTCGGTGGTGATGGAGTTTAAGGATGGATCGGTTTCTTCGTAGTAATAGTAGTTTGCAGGTGGTTTGGGGGTTGTTTTAGGATATTGAGCATTTATACCTAAAAATAAAATTCAATTAATACATCATAATAATATGACAAATGATACTCACCTATGGAGAATTTTTCCGGTGCAGGGGTAATAGAACTGATTTCATTATTGTCCACAGTGGTATGATGGTACTTTAATGGCACTTGTGTAGTGCTGACAAATCCATTATTGGGTTTTTGTCTGACAAATTGGGGCCGTTGACTGTCAATGGGTCTTCTTGGTTTGTTGGTTACCTCATTATGGTAAGTGTAAACCTTGGAAGTGGCGATTTCTGGTTTAACAGGTTTCAGTATAGTTACCGGGGGTTTGCGTTTGATACTAGGCAAATATGTTCTGTTTAGTTGGTCCACGTGCACTGGCAATATAGTGATCAGTTTGGGTTTTCCTGTTGTTGGAATCGTGGTTTTTATTAATTTAGTCGTTTGTTGTCGACTTATTGGTCTTCTAGTCATGCCAACTCTTACGCTGTAATTTTTGATTACTGACACTCGGGTGGGTTTGGTTTTGAAGGGATTCTGTGTACTGATTTCGTTGTTTAATGGTGATTCTGTGGTGGTGTAATAGGTTTTTAATGGTTTTCTTGTGGTGGTAGTTTTATCTTCGATTTGTGTGAAGAATTTTGGGGGTGGGGGCAGGATTATGCCTGGTACTAGAGGACCAGGCGGCACCTAAAAAGAATTATCCTATTTGAGATTTTATTTACTAAATTAGAATAAATTGATGGTTAGTGTAAAGGTTGAAGAAGAAGGAAGAAAGTTGGTTAGCAGTTGCAGTTGACTTTCGAAAAAGATCCTCAGAAGCACCTACAAAGAAAAGGAGCAGAGAAAGTAGTTTTAGTAGAGATAGTGAGTAAAATAGTAACTTACCACACTAGAATTGTCCTTGGGGTAGTAAAAACTGTAGGGCGGCGGATAGAAAATCGACGGGTCGTCCTCGTCCAGTAGATCTGGATTTGTCTCGTTTACTATAAAATAATTCAATTCAAATTATTATACAGTAAAAAATATTTTTATCTGATAATGAATGATTGAAGCCACATAGAATAATACTTACGGTGCTGGGGGGGCGGTAATATCGCTGCCCCAGGCGGTAAATGCGCGAAATAAGGCGCTAAGCTGCCGTTCAAAAGGGCGGGGGGGAACGGCAGCCCCCCTGCGGGTTCCCCCGAGTTAGGTACTCGCATCGTAACTTGCCCGGCAGCAGAGTCGGGCGGATTTTGATCGGTGGCGCCTGACAAAAATGCTGATATGAGTATGGGTTAATTTACATACAACGAATGCTGACTTTATAGGTTATAAGTACTGAATAATATCAATATTATTGGGTACTTTGTTTGCGATTATGTGATAATATTTATTACTTGCTTCTTATGGTTCACTACTAATCAGGATTAATTGATATGGGTGTTTAAATTTTAATGTTATTTGTGATGTCCTTATTGAATAGGAAATTACAGATTATGTGAAGCTATGGCGTGATATGTATTTATATTTAGCGTATTGCTTTTGATGAAGATTATTATTATTATTCCTATATACACCAATAGCAAGGGGAACAAATTTACATTAAGTTTGACATCAATTTTCTCTTGAACCCTCCACTCGATTTCGATGAATTTTTCACAGATTGTAGCTTGATTCTTCAAGAATACATCTGATGACGTATTACCGTTATTAATTGATTCGTCTTTATATCATAATATACAGAGATGGAGGAGAGTCAGTAATTTTCAGAGTTTTTTGAGACACCCTGTGGAGTGAACCACTGGAAATTCAGAACAGTTTTCAACTCTAAATTGTAGCCTGATCTTTTCCTAACATTTTAATTTTTTATTCACTCTGATATTTTCAATATTATTGAAAATACAGAGTTTCAGAGAAAAGGTGGATACTGACTTAAATTTTCTCCACATCGACATTTGAATTGGATATGAAAATGTGTCCTTTTCCAACTTCAAGTCGTCTGTGTGCATGTTTACTTCAAGTTAAATATTTCTCGCAGTTTTACCTCTTATCGATCAATTTATTGTGAAAAGAATGCTCACAAATATACAGGGGGATCAGAAACTGTGTATTTTCTACAATTTGGCGTTGAAAACTCTTGAATTTCCAGTGGTTCACTGCAGAGGGTGTCTCAAAAAACTCTGAAAATTACTGACTTTCTTTCCATCCCTGTATATGATATCAAGACAAATCATTTAATAACGGTAATACGTCAGATGCGAGGGGCTTTTCACCCAAGGAAATCGGTGTACAAATTCCTGGAAATACTTGGAAATAGCTAAAAATATTTGGAAATACCTAGAAATACTTTGGAAATACCCAGAAATACTGAGAAATACCTTGAAATACTTGGTAATACCTTGGGGAATACCTAGAAATACTTTGAAATACTTGGTAATACGTGCCAAATGATGTCAGAAAACAGTATGTTTATGAGCTTCCTGAGCGCTGCTTTTTCTCATAAATAAGTTTTTTTGAATTTTTACAGTCCAAGTTAGTTTTATTTGATTGTGAGAACCTTGGTGAGAACTTATTGAAAGGTACTTAAGTGTGTACAGGGTGTTCAAATTCGAGCAGTATCATCGGGATATTGGAAATGGTAAGAGATACAGGGTTGGTTAAATTATGGCAAAGTTGCGCAATTTTATGCTTAACAAAATACCGTTTTGATAATTTAAAAATTCTGAATAGTTCTGGAATTATTGGGAATAATCCGAAATTTTACAGCATTTTTATTTTTTTCTGAGCTTATTTGAAGAAATATCCCAAAATAAATGTCACTGTATCATTGGCACTTTTTCTCCTCCACAAGATGCTACCATCAAATTTACCTCCACAAATATGCTACCATCATCAACTTTATTTTTTTAAATATGACCCTGAATTTTTTATTTCAGATTTTAAGAGCTTCTGATGTCTCCAAACCTTTATGACATACCTCGGACATACCGCATTTATTTGAAAGAAATATTATTTTTTTTTTACTTTTTAGTAATTTTCGAGGTAATTTCCTACCAAAATTCTCTTTCTTCTTTGTCTCTCTCTAACACATTTAGTTTTTATGGAAAGTGCCAATAATTAAAAAAAAAAGTTGATGATGGTGGCCCATAGACGAAATGTCAGATTTTGAATTTGATGGTGACATCTTGTAGAGGAAAAACAGTGGTAATTGTGGTGGTAATGATGAAGTGACATTTATTATTTATTTTGGGATATCTCTTCAAATAGGTAAGCTAAGAAAAAAATGAATACGCTTCTGTAAAATTTTGGATTATTCCCAATATTTCCGGAACTATTTTTAAACTTTCAAAACGGTATTTTGTGAAGCATAAAATTGCAAAAGTTTACCATAATTTAACCGACCCTGTATCTCTTACTGTTTCCAATATCATCATTTATTTATTTTATTTATTTATTTATTTATTTATTTATCATGAAACTGCTTGAATTTGGGACATCCTGTATATATTTTAAGTGCCATTTTCATCTTATTTACGTTTGGCAAAAAAAATTTCTTGTTGTGTAGAAAATTATTGTTTCCCAGTGTATTAAAAATAGTTTGAAAGGACCCCGCACACTTCTTATGGGATTTCTGACTGCGGTCAAATTTAACCAAATTTTAGTATGTTATAGATTTCACCTTTCTGATCAATAACTACCATAAGCACAACTTAATCCTATGACTAGTTTTTAGGTAGTTTAATATCCCAGAAATGTACACATTTTGTATGCGTTTACATTTACCTGTCACCTAATAATATCCCAAGATGGACAGGTATCCTCACGCTCAGGTGACAGGTAGATGTAAATGCATATAAAATGTCTACATTTCTTAGACATTAAACTACCTGTATCTCAAAATCTAATCATAGGATTGAGTTGTGCCCGTGGTAGTTATTGATCAGAAAGGTGAGATCTATAACATACTAAAATTTGGTAAAATTTGACCGCGGTCAGAAATCCCATAAGGAGTGTGCGGGGTCCTTTAAACATTTTTTGTCCTTGTCGAATTGCTGGTCCATTTATGTGGTCTCTCCAAAGTGACGTCAACAGGCGTGGATGCGCAAAGCATTTGTAGACAAATCTATAGGAGAGTTTTGCTAATCTTCCGCGAGCTAATAAGAGATGACACTGTTGAAAAAATACCATGTGATCTTTTAAAAACGTCACTTTCCCGCACGCATTTTAATTCGGAAACTATCTTTTTCCCGCACGCTGTACGGGATTTTTTTTTCCGCACAGCGTGCGATAGACAAATACTTGGAAATACCTGAAAATACTTGGAAATACTTATAAATACTAAGAAATACTCAGAAGTACTTGGAAATACTAGGGAATACTTGGAAATACTTAGAAATACTCAAAAATACATGGAAATACAGTGAATATTAAGAAAAATGGAAATCGGTGTACAAATTTTGGTAGATGAAAAGCCCCTCGGTCAGATGTATTTCTGAAGAATTAAGCTACAATCAGTGAAAAATTCATTGAAATCGAGCGGAGGGTTCAAGAGAAAATTGATATCAAACTTAGTATAAATTTTGTTCGTTCCCCTAAAATTTTGCCGGTGTGTGTACTTATATAAGTACCTATCTAACTCTAGTTCTTATATCCTAATTATATTTTGGCCTATAATACCTACAAGATGTAATATAGTTCTCTGATATGTAAATAGACTTTGAAAGTTGTTACCTGTTTCCGGGAAATATTGGCTTTGCGGAGGTATTTCGCCGTCCCAACCGGGCGGGGGCGGTAAGGCGTAGGCCGGCGTTTCTGCTGAAGCATTAAGCGTTCGCGTAGAGTTTGTGCCCAGGATTTGAAGGGGCCCGTCGTCTGTGAATTGGACAGGAAAGGGCGGCGGTACCGCCGGATTTTTGGGGATTTTTACCTGTAAAATCAATCGTTGAATTTCTAATGCGAGTAATTGAAATGTATTAACGTGCCTGGTGCAGTGGTGCGTTGTAATTGTCGATGGGTTGCCAAATTTGTCCGAGGTAGTCTTCTTTGTCGTCATGTGTTGGATAGGTGCCGCCTTTTAGTACTAGAAGGTGGTTTTCTGCTAGCCATATGTCGTTTTTCGTTAGGCCTCCCAATGTGGCGATATTGTCTTTGGGAACCTACAAAAATATACTTGTATTATTTGTTTTTATTATTAATGCATTTTTAATTACTTCTGGATTAGGAGCATAGCTAATAATGCCTGGCCTTTTGGGTGGTTTTTTGAACAGTTCGTTTTGTATAAGGCCGTATTTACCATCTGCTACTTGTTGCGACAACGTTTTCCTTTCCTCTTCTTGTTTTCCGCCTTTTTGGTTTTTTGTGTTTTCGCCAGCACTAAAATTCCCAAGTTTGATTTTTTTGACTTTAAAGACATTGAAATTCACCTGGCAGTTATCAACTCCGAATCGTCCGCGTCCGAGTCCACAATTTTCAGATGTCCGCCAGCAAGTCTTTGAATTTGTCTTTGCTGTTGGTGTCGGGTTCTGGACAGGGGCGTCGGTGCTGGGTTCGCCAAGAGGGACGGTAAAAATAGCCATAAAGGCAGTATGAGTATGTAGGGCCATCGGTGACGATGACGCATCTAAAAATAAATAATTCAGGTGTTAAGATTAGCACTGTGTTAATGATTATTTGAATCTACACGCACAAATATTTTCATCAAGGTTGCATTAGCGTACTTTAAATACAAATTGTAAAATATCATGTGGTTATTTCTTACTGGAATCCCTTCGAAAATGCAAATTTTTGGGTCCACTTTCTACTCGAAAAAAATAATACCTTATTAAATGCAATACCATCAAGATAAGCGGGTAAATGGTAAAACAGTTGCCTGATTTACCGCTCAAAAATCGAAAGTGAAATGCCCTGCAAAGCAAAAGTAAATCGGACCGTTTTGCGTTTGAGAAAACGTGATTTTGTCATTTTTTTTTTTTTTGAGATTCAAATCACTTGCATTTTCGCATATACCTATATGACATAGGTAGGTGTTGATATTTAAAGAGGAATTCTGATATTTAGATGTAAATTTCAAAATAGCTTCTCTTATAGATCAAAGTAAATTATATGGTACTTTATGCGCTTTGGCCAAGGTACAAGTTTTAATTTGACCCGGAGGCTTATATTGTTCTTGCAATTAACATTTCGGTTTATAAGGTCACCTGTAAATTGCATAGAAAAGGAAGGAACAGAACTACACTTCTCGAATTAGCACCTAATAATAATTAAACGTACCAGTAAACCAGAAAAAAAAAATAATGCAAGCACAAAGTAAAAGTACCCAAAGTTATTTAAATACGATTATGTATTTCAGATCGTAATCATGTGCTATTTGAAACTGACCGCGCTCTGTTGAGGTTTTTTGATATTAGTGACTTGTTTTTGACGTCATCAATTTGCATCAATCTGTTGAATTTCACACAATAGGTGGGAAAACAAAACATAAAATCCCAAATCTGGGAATCGAGACCGAAATCCCAGGTACGCAATTTTACGTCAAGTACGTTCATTGTCTCGTCATCCGAAAAAAAAAAATATTTCGTTCACGTCCTTGGCCCGCGACAGAGACAACAATAAGTTTCGATTGCTGAAATTCGGGCTTAATAAGAGTTTGTTTTGGAACCGTGACACTATCTAGAATAGTTTTTGTTCTCAGGCCTTAGAAATAGGCTATCCTTGTTTGGGCTTTCATATAACAACAGCGTATGCTGACTAATTGAAACACATGGAGTTGGAAGACATTGAAGACCGTTTATAGTCTGGTGCAATTTGGAAATATCTGGGGAAGTTTATGGGGAGTCAAAGGAACAAAAACATGTAAATTTCCGAAGTTCACAAACCTGGAGTATGAGTTTCGATTCTAGATTTTTGAGCAAAAGATTATGACAATTTCTAGAAGGTGTGCCAGTATAAGTATCCTAGCTCTAAAGGCGATAAACACAGGCCTCAGAAAACAGTCCACACGATTTGCAACACTGTAGCCACAGAAAGACTGTTCCAGGGGTACAACATTGGCTTGCTCAGAAAGTTCCTTCTGTCATATCTTTCATTGTCCAGATTTTAAGTGTAACTTTTGAAATTGTAAGTAATTGTTATTGGTCTGGAAGATGTTGACTTTCACACTGACCAAATTAGTATGCAATAGGTTTGGATCAAATCACCTTTTTTTTGTGTTATAAGGTCAAGCGTCAAGCCTCTGAAGTCCAAGTGAATATAAAATGTCTTTGAATTCAGGAGGAATTCTAGCCTCTCTTCTTTGGACATTCTTCAGTAAATTGATTGGGCAAACTCCAGGGCTAGTCTAATGAAGTGATATCCTTGTTTTCACATAAGAAGACAGATCAAGGGAGTCAACACCAAAACCTAGAATACCTCACTTAGAACTTCTTTGGTTATTGAGAATGAAGTTTATCCAGATTTTAACGGCTTTTCTTTGGACACTCTGATCAAAGGGCTCAACACCAAATTCTGAATCTTACTCGGAACTTCTTGGTGATACTCAGAACAAACGCCATTTTATTTCACCTAGAAGCTTTTGGTTATTAAGACTGAAGTTTATTCAGATTAAGCTGGCTCGAAACTTCATAGGGTTCCGCCTTCTAGAAAAGTTTCCTGATTGAAACTTTAAATCATGAATAATTGTCGATTTTTCTATAACAAGCTGAATCTGGGAAACTATAAATATTCAATGGAAGCATAAATGGATTACTGCATCAGGTTGGGACTTTTGTGATATAATTGTAGCCTTTTTTTTAAAAGATTGTGGAAAGAACTGAATGGTGATTGGCCAGTTTACAAAAACAGACTATATATTTCTAATGACATTTTCTTCTCTCTTAAACCAGCAATATTGAAAAATCTTTTTTCATCAGCTTTCTTGTTTTGAGTGTAGTAAGATCAAGCCTCGGAAGTCCAAGTGCATATGAAATGTCTTTGAGTTCAGGAAGAATTCTAGTCTTCTTTGGACATTCTTCATTGAATATGAGCTCCATGCTGATTGGGCAAATTGCAGATCTGGTCTGATGTGAGAAGACAGGGTTCAACACCTCACTCAGAACTTGGTAATTCTCTGAACAGACGCCATTCAATTTTACCTGCAAGCTTTGGCTGTTGAGAGAAAACTTTATCTAGGTTAAACTGGCTCCTTCATAGGGCTACGCCTTTTGGAAAAGTTTCCTGATTGAGACTTCAAATCACGAATTTTGTGACATTATTGTGCGTCCTTTTCTAGAAATTGTAAGGTTAACTTTATTTGGATTGAGAAAATTTCAGCTTTCTATCTATAATAGAAAAAATGTTATGACCTTTCAAAGTTTTCCAAAATCTAAATCATAAGGTAGCTATCTCAGTACTAAGACGATGAAATTTCAAAATATTTTTTGTTGAGATTGTAGTCCTCTACTGGGATAAGAATCGCTGAAAATTTCAGCTTTCTATCTATAATAGAAAAAAAGTTATGACCTTTCAAAGTTTTTCAAAATCTAAATCATAAGGTGTCCTTGGGACACAAAATCTCTCTCTTTGGGATCCCCCAAATTCCATACACTAAATTATTCTGAGATTTGAATCCTGAGTCTATGAGAAAAAGGCACTCAGAAAAATTGAAAAATTGATAAATCACCCCAAATTGGTTAACACAATTTTATTCCTAGAACTGTAAAAAGTTTTCCAAAGTCTAAATCATAAGCTACCTTCCTACTAAAACCACTAAAACGATGAAATTTCAATTTTTTTTTTGTTGTTGGGATTTTGTGTCCCAATGGTCCTTTGGGATCCCCCAAACTCCATACACTAAATTATTCTGAAATTTGAAGCCGGATTCTATGAAAAAAGGTACTCAGAAAAATTGAAAAACTGATAAATCACCCCAAATTGCTTAACACAATTTTATTCCTAGAACTGTAAGTCCAAGTAAGCTTTTCAGGGATTGTAGTCCTCTACTGGGATAAGAATCGCTGAAAATTTCAGCTTTCTATATTTAATAGGAAAAAAGTTACAACCTTTCAAAGTTTTCCAAAATCGGAATCATAAGGTCTCTGCATTGAATCAGACGTAAATGTTTAGTTTCTTTGCACTCACTCTGGAGTAATTTCCTACCTCTAAAGCAAGACGCAAAAATGAATGTTTTAAATGATTAAGATATTCACATTTTTTGTATTCCAGGCTCTTGAATTTTCTTTATTTCGACAAATTCAAGAGCCGGGAATAAACAAAAACTGAAATGAGGAATTGGGAAAAAACAAGAGATGTAAGAAAAAGTATCGATAATTTTTTCACATTAATATCAGCAAAAGAAGACACTAATTCTAGAGCAGTTTGGAGCATAGTAGAAGTTTTACTAAGACTCCAGAAACTGTGCACTAGAGCAATTTTCAGTTAATCGAATACGCGATAATAACGTATTCGACACCCTTGCACTTGTTCTAGAGCATGTTGGTATTACAAAATTCGTGACCCCAATGAACTGCAAAATTATGTTCCAAAATTCTTCTCTATAGTAAATCAGACGTAAGTGTTTAGTTTCGTTGGACTCACTCTGGAGTTACCTCCTACTTTTAAAGCAAGACGCAAATATGAATGTTTCAATTTAAATGATCATGATATTCACATTTTTTCTATTCCAGGCTCTTGAATTTTCTTTATTTCAATCACTTCAATAGCCGGAAATAAACAAACATTGAAAAAAAAAGAAGAGATGTAAAAAAAAGTATGGAAAATATCAATATTTTCTCACATTAATATCAATATAAAAAAGAAGGCATTAACTCTAGAGCCGTTTGGAGCATAAAGCTTTACTCCGACTCCAGAATCATGAATTATTACACTGCATTTACAAAATACGAGCAAACTGTGTACTAGAACAAGTTTCAAGTAATCGAATACGCGCTAATAACGTATTCGATATTCGATATTCTTGCAGACGTAAGTGTTTAGTTTCTTTGCACTCACTCTGGAGCAATTTCTTCTTAGTAAAAGGATGAAATTTCAATTTTTTTTTTTTGTTTGGATTCTGTGTCTTAATGTTCCTTTGAGATCCCTCAAACTCCATACACTAAATAGGTAATTCTGAAATTTGGAGTCGGATTCTATGAGAAAAGGCACTCAGAAAAATTGGAAAATTGATAAATCACCCCAAATTGCTTAACACGATTTTATTTCTGGTAATATAAGTCCTGAAATTTTCAGGGATTGTGGTCCTCTAATGGGATTAGAATCGCCGAAAATTTCTATCTTTCTATCTTTAATAGAAAAAAAGTTATGACCTTTCAAAGTTTTTCGAAAATTTAAATCTTATAGTTCCTACTAAAACGAAGAAATTTCAAAAAAAAAATTGTTGAGATTTTGTGTCTTAATGGTCCTTGGGTATCCCCCAAACTCCATACACTAAATTATTCTAAGAGTTGGAGCCAGATTCTATGGAAAAAGGCACTCAGAAAAATTGATAAATCACCCCAAATTGCTTAACACGATTTTATTTCTGGTAATATAAGTCTAAATGATATGAAATTTTCAGGGATTGTAGTCCTCTACTGGAATAAGAATTGCTGGATTGTGATTGGCCAGTTTTCAAAAATAGACTGTTCTCGAACCAGGAATGTCAAAAACTCTCAACATAAAAATCTACTTCCTCTCGCATAAAACAAAATTCGTTTTAACCATGTTTGGTAAAACCTTAATGATCTTGTCCACCATAATAATAAAGCGGGCAATAAATTGCAAATATCCAACCTTGTTTTGTACTATTTTTATAACTCGCGCTGCACAGAGGCCGATTTTTCAATTTTTTTTTCCTTCTCAGTTCTTAACCGACACACCCAACTATCCTGAGGTTGTATAATTAGAACTAGAATGTTGGTTAGTTGAATATAGGAAATTGTTAAATGTTAATAATTCTTTAATGCTTATGGCTGCGGAAATAGGATTTTTTTGAAATTCTGCAATATCTTGTCGAACGACAAAACGAAATTGTTACATAAATCGAGCAACAATGTGTCTTTTCAGTTCAAAAAATATTTCTTGTTGTTCAATGGCCGAGTTTAGTTGGGTAACTGGAAGGTATTAAGAAATAACTTTTATTGCAATTAAACAATGACCCACGTTTATGTGATCTAATCAGGCCAAAAACTATTTGGATTAAACATAAATTCATAATTTTAAAATCAAAATTCAGTTATTTTTTCTATGGTTCTGGTCCCATAAGTTTCATTTTTTCGTCATTCCTGCTTGGGTGCCACACTTGCTATTCAGTACGGAACCGAGGGAAAAAAAAAGTGAATTTTTTTCAAATTTATTTAATTTGTGGGTGATTGATGGATGCACACGTGTTATATAACAACTTTGGGGTTTTTGTTAGGTGATTCCAATTACTGTGCAAATTAATGAAATATTTTTGTTTGGTAGAAAATTGGTTTCTTTTTCATATCTTTCAGTAATTGTAAATACATAATATTTCATTATTTTTGTATAATTGTAATTAGGTTTGTGTGAGAGTGCAACTGGAAAACTTGGTATCTTTATTTTTCTCCCAATTCAGCTTTGGAAAACTTGCATTCAAATTTCATCGAAGATCAACAACAAATCCCACAGAAATTGTTTTTACAGGGTAATTTTTTTTATATATCAGTTTTGATTCCTAAAACAAATTCATCAAAATTCCTCTATATTTATTTCAATACCGTTTCACTTGAATTTTAAGTCCAAAACTTTAAAGTCAAGTGTATAAGTCATAGACAGATTGACTAAAAGGGATTTTTGTTAACATTTGATGTAATCTACGAAACTTTGAGTCAAACGATTAAATATGTTTGGAATTAACATGTGAAGATGCTTTCAAAATCCTCCCAAAACTTTGAGGAAAAACTTCTCCTACTTCTTTGGCTGGAGAAAAACTTCCCTTTCTTTTAATGAAAGTTTTAATTATTATCAACATTTTAATAAAATTGTCAAAAACACAAGACACACTCTGTTGATTGTAATTATTATTACAAACAAATAAATAAAAAGAAAAGTAACATAATTTGTCCTGAACGCTCTGTTTCATCTAAATACCATTATGTTCTAAAACCAACAAACCTTTAATTTTTCATCTATATAAATCCAAAACTAATATTTAAAATCAATCAACACTTTTCGCACTCGATAATCACAATAACATCCTTTCGATAATCATCGTATTTATTATTGTCACAAATTTTTATATGCCCGCATATCTACAGCGTTCTTTTCCGCACCAAATCCCCAACTGGTAAGCCGGTACCCACCATGAAGATGTCGTGGTACTCGCCGCGTGCCTACTAGGTGGGGAATTTCATTGTTTATACTTCGAAAATGGTATATTGCGGTTAAAACCCATCACTGGATGATCTAGAGGGATTTTTTTTAATGAATTAACCGGATTTGAATGATTTATGTGTAATCTTTTGTAGCAAAATCGAATTGATTCTCTTCCCTATAAGCTTAATTTTTCAAATCAAAGGTGTGCCTGAATTTTTAAGGTGCACCTCCAGATGACACCTCTCCAGGATTCAAGGATGTTTTAACAAGGTGTAACTCAATAATTGGATTAGGTTGGAATTTTGTGTGAATCAGGAGCTTTAATTAGGTATTATTTGTCTTTTTGCGGACCATTAATTCTCAGTCTAGTTTTCAACAAATCATATTGTAGTGAAGTCAAGGCGAGTTTTACATAATTAATTGTGCACTTTATCCTTGAGTTAACTTTTTAACTGGTTTGTGTTGCGTTTAAAGATTAAAATCCTTTTCTTATAGTGCAGGTTATTGTCTATTTAAAGAAAGGAATAGTAAAAAATGCATTATTTGTTGTTTGAAAATCATTTGCATTGTATTGGATGAAAATGAAATTTTTTCCCATATCTTCTCCACGTACGTGGTCTGTTGTTATAATAACTAGTTCATATGGAAAGTGGAGTTTTCGCTGCTATTGTTATTAGATGCAAATTGGATGTGACTCGAGTACATAAATGTTTGAACTTGAGTGAAGAATTCAAATTTGTTGTAGAAAAATTGTTAGATTTTGTACACCTACACGAAGTTTTGAATACTTTAGGAAAAAAATTCAATTCTTGAAAAATTGGACAGTTGAACAGTTTCTTTATTGAATTATCAAAGAGTCTTCACAATTCTTTTGATGAACATTTGAAGTACAATTTGGTTTACTTCTTGTCACTTTACTTCAATCTACCAACTTATCATGAGTTGTTTCTATTTCCTGTTCCCAACTGGTTGAGTTATTAATGATGATCAGAAATTTCTTCTTTTACTTCATTTCTTTTGCCTCAATCTGAAAATTCTGTAATACCTTCTTCAAAATTCACGTATTTTCTTTCTGTTTCCTTGACAATAACGACTAGAACTTCTGTTTTCGCTAGAACCAAAAAATATTAACAAAAACGTACCAAATATCTAGAAATGGTCGATTGAAGATTTCTTCCATCATATGGTGTTGTATCTGAATTTTGTAAATTTGATCATTCTCTCAGACGCTAAAATCATGAAGAAAATCTATGATTTTAGCAAATTTCAACATTTATATGGGAAAAATTCAACGTACCACTTATCAAATTAATGTATTCTTAATCAGAATTAAATGCTTTTTAAGATAAAACAAAACTGAATCGTTTATCTCAAATAGTTTCCGAGATATTGGGCCTCAAAGTTGAAACATTATCTCAAATTTTGGAAAATCTTCAAAGCCGATTATCTCGAAAACGAAGCCCTAGGGCTCGATGCTCCAAATAACCTTTTTTGGATCCACGATTGAGATCTACAGTTAGACAAAATTTCGTGCCGATTGCTTTTCTGGTTTCCAAAATATGGCCCTTTGAAATATTTGAAAATTAAATTTCCTTGCATAGGTATCCCTCAGAAAAAAATTCAATTTTGATTTTTTTAGATTTTTTAATTTCTGATTTTACCAATTGAAAGAGAGAATCAAAATTAGTAGAAAAGCATTTTCGTAATTTTACGTTTCGAGGTTTTAGGGCCTGTAAAAAATTAAAAATGATTTTTGTATTTTTTGACATTGCTTCACAAAATCGCTCATAACTCAATGAATTTTCCACAAATTTCCATGCATTCTTGTATATTCTTAATCAAAATTAAATGATCTTCAAGATGAATCAAAATTGAAGCGTTTATCTCAAATAGTTTCCGAGATATTGGGCCTCAAAGTTGAAACATTGTCTCAAATTTTGGAAAATCTTGAAAGCCGATTATCTCGAAAACGAAGCCCTAGGGCTCGATGCCCCAAATAACCTTTTCTGAAGCCCCAATCGAGATCTACAGTTAGACATAATTTCGTGTCGATTGCTTCTCTGGTTTCCAAAATATGGCCCTTTAAAATATTTGAAAATGAAATTTCCTTGCATAGGTATCCCTCAGAAAAAAATTCAATTTTGATTTTTTTAGATTTTTTAATTTCTGATTTTACCAATTGAAAGAGAGAATCAAAATTAGTAGAAAAGCATTTTCGTAATTTTACGTTTCGAGGTTTTAGGGCCTGTAAAAAATTAAAAATGATTTTTGTATTTTTTGACATTGCTTCACAAAATCGCTCATAACTCAATGAATTTTCCACAAATTTCCATGCATTCTTGTATATTCTTAATCAAAATTAAATGATCTTCAAGATGAATCAAAATTGAAGCGTTTATCTCAAATAGTTTCCGAGATATTGGGCCTCAAAGTTGAAACTTTGTCTCAAATTTTGGAAAATCTTCGAAGCCGGATTATCTCGAAAATGAAGCCCTAGGGCTCGTTGTTCCAAATAACCTTTTTTGAAGCCCTAATCGAGATCTACAGTTAGGCAAAATTTCGTGCCGATTGCTTTTCTGGTTTCCAAAATATGGCCCTTTGAAATATTTAAAAATGAAATATTCTTGCATAGGTATCTCTTAGAAAAGTTTCAATTTAAATTTTTCTAGATTTCTCAATTTTTAACTTTACGAATCGAAAGAGAGGATCAAAATTAGTGGAAAAGCATTTTCGTGATTTTTCTTTTTGAGGTTTTAGGACCTGTAAAAAATTAAAAATGATTATTGCATTTTTTGCCTTGAAAAATTTTGATTATCTGACATTGCTTCACAAAATCACTCATAACTCAATGAATTTTCCACAAATTTTCATGCATTCTTGTATATTCTTAATCAGAATTAAATGCTCTTCAAGATAAAACAAAATTGAATCGTTTATCTCAAATAGTTTCCGAGATATTGAGCCTCAAAGTTGAAACATTGTCTCAAATTTTGGAAAATCTTCAAAGCCGATTATCTCGAAAACGAAGCCCTAGGGCTCGTTGTTCCAAATAACCTTTTTTGAAGCCCCGATTGAGATCTACAGTTAAACAAAATTTCGTGCCGATTGCTTTTCTAATTTACAAAATATGGCCCTTTAAAATATTTGAAAATGAAATTTCCTTGCATAGGTATCCCTTAGAAAAATTTCAACTTTGATTTTTCTAGATTTCTTAATTTTTGACTCCACCAATTGAAAAATAGGATCAAAATTACTGGAAAAGGATTTTCGTGATTTTTCTTTTCGAGGTTTTAGGGCCTGTAAAAAATTAAAAATGATTTTTGTATTTTTTGCCCTGGAACATTTGACATTGCTTCACAAAATCGCTCATATCTCAAATAATTTTCAACAAATTCTGATGCATATTTGTATATTCTTACTCAGAATTAAATGCTCTTTAAGATAAAATTGATTTGAATCATTTATCTCAAATAGTTTTCGAGATGTTGAGAATCAAAGTTGAAACTATGTCTCAAAGCTCAGAGGCATCTTCCAATTTTTCTAGTTTTTCTATTCTCAGCAACCAGTATCCAATTTCCAGGGATTCATTTTATATCGTCCAAAAATCAAACCACTGGTTATCGGTTGATAAATAGTTAGTGGCTTGAACGTCAATTACTAAAGTTTGAATTCGATCCCTTCACTTTTCAATCCATTAAGATGAGTGCAATAAAATTTGCACCAAGGTGCAGGTTTTGATGCACCTGTCAAATATCAACCAATCAAGCTTAATGGATTATTTACTTGATATCAACAGACAAAGGATTCTGTAGTTTCAACATTATTGTTTGTGTTAAAATTTATTATTTTTGACACCGCCGCATTGTTCTCTGTTATTTCACTTCACCGGTTGAAAGGTAATACAATATTTGAATCGTTTTTTGATTGCTCAAGATCGATACAATTTTGAAAGAAGTGAACGGTTCTTTTGTGTCTTTTTTGCTTTGTTGTTTGATTATGAGTGGGACTTATTGTAGTTTTACAAATTATTCAACATCAAATACTCTACTAGAACAAAACCAAAAACAGTCAAGACATTTAAATTCTCGACCAGTTGCACGCCGCATAATATTCGAAATCATATACTTGTAAACAAATAAATAACTTATGGCCCAATAGTTCAATATATATGATCTAGATCAGTGTCGAATTATTTTTAGAGTTTCGGCAATTTAAAGCCAATATTGAATAGCAAAACCGAAAATCTAAGCTTAAATTCTCGTTGTACTTTTCCTTTCTATTCCGATTACGTTATTGAACATAACACAATGGGCAACCAAGAATGGTGAAGTGTCACGGGGGCACGACCACACCCTCCGAAAGGTCAAAACATTTGGACACCTGACAGGAATTAGGGCAGGAATTTTTCCTGCATATATTTTGCATAACCCTTCGTAAGTAGATTATACAAATGCATTTCAAAATTAATGTTTTAAAATGTAGCACAAGGTTCAAGTTTTATGGTTTGACCCTATCATCAACATTGCCACCTATTTGGTATAGTGGTACTTCAAAGCAGGTCGCACCTCTAAAAAAAGATCGAATTCAAAGATCAAAAGTGATGGTCGGCGGCACGATCTTCAAGCGCCGTCTTCATTTTCTTCACGTGCTGGTGCGTCGACCGAGTGTGACCTTTGAAGAGGGTTTTCAAGTTCACGATTCGACAGGAATTCCGACTGCGAAGAATCGTGAAGAAGATGCGCCCTGCAATAAGAGGAGCAAAAGGTCGGAGAGCGCAATAAATGGCCTTGGATATTTCCTAAGTAGATTTTTCACCATTGGTTCATGAAGCCTTTGGTTGGTTACTTGATAACTATCAATGCTTGAATGTTTCCAATATATCCATTCACAATACGAATATGTTGTGTAGCATCAAAATGTTGTATGGCTCACTTAATATAACAAATAGAATTATAATTTTTGAGTTACCATTGGTGATTAATTCTTGCGCAAAAATACTC